TAATTTCTCCCTCTTTATTCCTCTTTACCTCTTTGAAGCATAATTTGAGTGCTAATGCTTTATACCCATGGGTGTGGAGCCCGGAAAAGGCTGGGCTATTTTGTGGCAACTAGCACTTTCAATAAATAATGAAATAAATGATAGTTTGCTTAAACTTTATCCCTTCAGGAATAACTTATTTTCAAAAAGCTTTTCATGCCCCGCAACCTACTATTATCTATTTCAACTATTTCGTTAGCATTTCAATATTATTTTTCTAACTATTTATCTCATTCTTATCTGTATTTTTTTTGACACTTTTCAAACAATCTTTCATATTAAAAAAAAAATGCAATTTCAATTTTTTTTTGCGTTATTCGTTGGTTATTTATTGACAAGAAAAGTTAGATTGATTAGAAAAAGCTAAATATTGTTATGGGAAATTTACTTCTCATTCTATTTATATTGACATATTATATGTGACATCTCTCAATCATCAATTTTACTTGACAAGGCTATTCTTAAGTTTTTTTTTTTTGTTCATTCACCTGCAAAATCAACTCCGGCAGATAAACATCCATTTATTATAACGGAAGTTTGTTTGTTTCGATAATACTTGAGGTGCTTTAATAACTTTAATAAACTTGGAGCATTTCCATTTCCGCTATTTCAATATAAACTTTTTACCGTTAGCTTCAGTGTACTATTGATAATGATAATAATAGATGGTGCTGTGTCAAACTTATTGGTTTTTCCTGCTTTCAAATATATTATCATCGATGGTCTGAGTATTTTAATAATATTATTTTTCTCGACAAGCATCTTTTGCATGGGGGAACAGCATACTAGCGATAACTATTTCAACAGCAACTATATCTATACTTAAAGCCTAAATAAATTAAATGCTAATATAGTAATCTAAATTTGCATTCTTTGTACTGTTTTTTTTTGTTGTAAAAGATATTTTGATGCACTAAATATTATTGTTATCTATCAATAACTTTATATCATCCATAACATATAATCGCTGCAAAATCTTACATTTTTTGAATTTGAAAAATTTTCTGAATATTTTTCAAGGCAATTTATCTTGTTTTATTAAATGTAAAAATTTCTGCAGATTACTTAATATTTCCTCTATTTGCCTTTATTGAATAATTACTGTTATATTTATCGTTTAGAAGTTATTGATTCGAATATTTTACCTTAAAATGCTTTTTTTTCGTTTTCCTAAAATTTGAAAAAATTTCAACTCATTGCTGAAATACATTGTTTCAGACAAGACGATGTCATTGTTAATCGGTACTGGAAATTCGAATATTTCACAACCTGGTACATCGTTTAGTGAACTACCAATGGTTAACCATCATCAGTTTTCCGAATCGATCGCTACTGCTACCGCTATCGTCAATAATAATAATAACAACAACAGAATTAGCAATCTTAAATATCATGATAGTAACGGTGAAGTAATAACGATGCTTACTAATCATGCAACTCGTAGTAATGACATGTCAGCGCAAAATTTTCGACCTAATGACATTGAGGACGATATGGAAACACAGGTACATTGAATTATTTTCTTTCTAATATATTTTCAGCTTTGTTACAGTCTTATTTTGGTTTCGTCACATTTTTATTTTGGTTTTGTTACAATCCTTATTTGGTTTTATCACAACAATTCGTTCATTCACATTATATTATCCCCAATTTTGCTTACTATTTTAATCAACTTTATTAAAAAAAATTACAAATGTTATCGGATGTGTGATAGATTATTTAGTTTTTCATTTTATCATAGCAATTAAGCATACTACGTTCAATTTTTTTCTCCTCTTTGATAAATTTTTATTTGTTTTTTATTTCCGATGCAAAAAATTTAGAATAAATTGCTAGTTTGAGAAAAAGGCGAAAAAAAAAAATAGCGAGAATGCAAAAATGCTGATCTAACGCGAGTCCTTAGAGATCTATTTAAAAAAAAAATTCAATAGCTGTAGAACTAAATGTTCATTTTCATGATCAGTTTTTCTCCTTTTCAATAATTTTTGCTTGGCTTACATCAATCACATTTTATGATTATTTTTTCTGATAAAGAGATGATGCGGCAATACTTACCAATTTTTAGTGACACCAACTACTTGTTAAATTAAAACAGCATATTGTAATTAGCTTAATGTATATATATGCTCTTTGCATCATTTCTTTTCTAACTCTAATTGGTAGAAAATTAAATAGGCAGCAGCATCGAAAATTTTGAATTAAAATATTGTTATAAAAAAAAGTCAACATTTGGAAAACGTGATTTAAGCTTTCTTAAAATGTAATTTAAGTAATTAACAACATCTGCAACATGTTTGAAGTATTATTAATTTTAAAAGTAGCAGATGGAAATTAGCGAGAAGGTTGCATTGTTAAACTTCAAAGAAATAAATTAAATTGGCTTTACTTTTTTCTTTCAAATTTGTCGTTTCCAATTAGCATTGTTGAATAATAAAAGAATAAAAATTTTCAAAATGCGAAAATTTTTATTCTTTTATTATATTACCTTTTTATTATTTTACTTTTTTTAATAGTTTAAAACTTCATTAAATTTAAAAATTAGAAGTTAATATTGCATGTGAGTACTTCGTTTTTAAAGAAACGTGGCAAAGTTTTAAATTAAAAAAAAATTATCATTTTAAACCAATACTTAAAATAAACCTTTTTGATAAATGATCGAGTAAAATAAAAGAATTCTTTTTCATTTGTTTTGAGCATTCAGAAATAGGAAAAGAAAAACATCGGGATGATTTCACTAAGCTAACTTTGTTTGCGCTACGCTATTCAATTATATTTAATAGCTCAAAATTAGGAAGACCTTCCCGTTAGCTCGGGCTTAGGCCATGTTGTAATAATGAAATATTAGCTTGCATACCTTCATAAATATCGTTTGGTTTTATGTAAAGTTTTTCTTTTTTCTGAATTGGTTGTTATTTCTATTTGACTTTCAAAATTTGGTTATTTAAAAGTGTTTGAAAAAAGTTCAAATGTTTAACAAACCAAAGTTTTGTGTAAGAAATAGCATTTTCGCTTTAAATGCATACTGAATGTTTAATTTGATTTTAATGTTCGACCTTAAATTTAAAAACGAATTTCAAATTAAGAAATAAATTTTTTATTTAAAAAAGAGAAGTATATGTTCTGTTCATTTTTTTCAGATTTGATGAAGTTCATTTTCAGGAGCTGGCATCAATACCACGTAAATATAAATATTATTTCATGCCAAATAAATCACAGGTATTATTTTATTTGAGCGATGCATCGTTTCTAAGGATTCGGAGAGCTGGAACTGAATTACAGGTACTTATCAATTTACTTTCATACGGTCATGCTGTGAATTAATAACTTAAGTTGAAATTGAAATGAGAAAATTGAAAACTATTTAGCTCGCTTTTCTATTACATTTTCTTTCCATCCATTGAAATTTAATTTTTGTTCACTCGCTAATTATTCCATAGAATTTTTCAAAAACCTGGCAATCACATAAGACATGAACGGTATGACCTAAAGGTAGATTTTTCATTTGATCTGCTGGTTGTGTGAAATTTTGCGATGATCGTATTATTCCAAAGGATATTAGATAATTATTTCAAATGAAACTTTGAAAATTTTGTTCACAAATTAATAATTTAAATTAGTCCAAAGTTAATTCATAAATGCAATAAATGTCACCGTAAACTAAAATGTCAGGTAACCGATTCTATCGATTTCCCGTTATTTGATATTTGGGAAGAAGTAAATTGTGATAAATCAACAATGATTTTGGAATCATACGGTAGAACAGTTCTATTGCTATCGAAAAATTCAGCTATTGGATGTATTTCCGGAAATAAATCTGATCCACCTTTTGTTGCTGTAAATGATTGGAATGGTGATTTATTCGGTTATTTTGTACCTGGTAAGTTAATTAGTAAACAAATTTCACTACTAATATTTATTATATTTGTTATTTTTTCTGCTTAACTATAAACATATTTAATTTCTTTCTCTTCAGAATATTTCGCTTAATAGCAAATAAGTAATATAACTGATAATAAGCACTGATTTGCACTTAGTTAAATTTGATACATTTATCTCTTCATTAATTATTTCAGGCGATCCATTTCTGATCGAGGACAGTGATAAACAAACGATAGCAAAAATTTTAGCTGCTGAAAGTGCATATGGAAGGTAAATTTATTTCTATTCATTTTATGCTTTACATTTATTTAGGATACAATTTAATGTTATTTTTAAAATGAAACTAATTGAAGCGATCATTTTTTGCATAATAAAAGGGAATCTTCCCTCTTGCAAATTTCTATTTTATTTTACAATTTAACCGAATAAAATATAATATTTCGAGTGGTGCAAAAAAAAAAATTCACTGATTAAATTTTAATTGGAATAATAAAATATAACTGACTTTTATTTTAATAGCATATATATTATGGAATACTTAGAAAGAAATGGCATAAACAGTGAATAGCTTAGGTAAGATAAATAAATACAATAAACAATTGGTGAGAAAAAAAAGAAAATAATGAGAGAGAGAGAGAGAGGGAGCGAGAAAAAATTACCTTAATTAGTGAACAAAATTTAAAGTAAATTTGTTCAAACATAAATTTATCAATGATTTGTTAAGAAGGAAATTCAAAATTTAATGATTAAATGGAAAAAAAATATCAAATTTTTACAAATATAATTTTAATTTTTCTAAATCTTATCTTTCTTTATGATAATAAAAATTTTAAAGTGCTTCATGAGGATTTTTTCTCCTCTTATTTTAAGAAATTAAAAATAAAAATGAATAATAAGTAATTGCTTCATTATAAATTGAATTTTTTACAACTCACCATGTCTTTTTGTAAAATTTAACAGTTTCAGAGTTACTGTATGGGTGTGTATATTGGAAGAATCGGGTCAAGAAATGGCTCGAATGGAAGAGTACAGTACAATTTATTTTACTAAGAATGTTGGTGGCTTCCAGTTAAAATTGCTAGCCTTAGCTGCATTTGCTCGTTTAACCGTTTCCGAATTTGTCCAAGGCCAATCCTGTTGTGGCTCTTTTCTTTCGATGTTATTCCGCTGTTAATTGTAATTAATTATATGCTGCTATAAATGATTCGCATTAGAAATCTCCATATTACTAATAATTAATCATTACGGTATTATATCTGGTAAAGAATGAAGGGTTACGTCAAAATACGTATGAGCATACGAATATAGGTAAAACTATAGATTAAGTCATGAACCATACTGTCAGTTCAAATGTTAAAAAGATCAAATTGTTAAAGAAATGTAATTGTCAAAAATAATTCTCACAACTCTGCAAATTAATTTTCAACAAAATTTCCAATGGCTTAATTAATGGAAGCATTTAGAAACGATAACATGAATGATTTATAACTATTTTATGCGTCTTCAAACATCTATCAGGATAAATTCCTAAAATAATCTGTGAAATTAATTTTATGTAATTCCGAAAGCTATTATAATTCCTTTCGGTGAATTTCATTGATGTAATTAAAACTGTATTTCAAATTATTTCAAATATAAAAATAAGTTATTCAAATATACCATAGAAATAATAATTTAAATAATTCTAAGTCACCTTAACTATCCCTGTATGCTGACCTGGTATTATAGTGACTTAAGGGCAGATGATAATGCATCATATCATTAATGTAATTGTTATTCTATTTTTTATAAAAATCATTTCAGGATAGAATTTTTTTTTAATTTTTGTAAATATTACGAATTTGATGGCAAATCAATAAATGCTCGAACATGTTTCTTTTTTTTTCTTGATCTTTTATCTAAATGATCACAAATTGTCGACTGCCAATAGCGCATTACACACATTGTCGGAAGTTACTACAATTAATTGTTCCGTCTATTTTAGAAATTTAAAATTTAAAAAGATAATTGTGCTGAAATGGTCAGTAAAGTGATTAGTTTTAGCTCTTGCAATGACTTAATTAATAATTTGGGAGACATAAAATTAGTGAAATGTTAACAAAATGTTATTTTTTTTTCAAATACAAATTATCATAGTACAAAAAATGATCTTATCAATTTTTCACTTCTTAGTTAATTCATATTTGACAATTTAAATGAAAAATTAATCATTCGGATACTGAAAATATTTCACTCATTCAATTTTATTATTAATAATAATT